GATTTTAGAAAAAAGTATCGTCTTATAGTCGGAAAAATACGGTAATTATTTTGCTAATTAGTTAACTGGAAAAATGGCAGGCTGCAAAGCAAAGTACCAGTTTCTAGCACCATCTTCCAAAGACACCTCTGAACTGGGTTCTAATAGGCCCATAGGTGTTCTTATGTTCTTAGTTTGCAGTCCAGCACTGTTTGGAAATGTGCTCCCCAAAAGATGACAGTACTCAGGGATAGCAAAGTACATCATCAGTTTGCCTTTTGAATAATGAGTGTTTTGTAATAGACAGCCATTTTGTGAATAGCAAGCTCCTCCCACAGAACCCATTTTGTGAAAGTACATCATGGCAAGTTCTTAAAATTCCAGACTTGTCCTCTGGTCTACAAGATTGTCTACCAGTGGAGGACACCAAAACTCGAGTGAGAAGGGAGCTGCCCAGGGGAGAACAAAATGATAAAAGTCCAGAAATCTATTTACATGACATTGGATTTACCATAAAATTTAATTAACTTAAACTAGCCAACCTTGGCTGATCTTAAGAAGCTAAACAGGATCAGACCTGATTAGTACTTGGAGGCTCCCAGGCAATCTCAGGGCTCTTGTTAAGTTTGGGATGACCAAAAGAAAAATTCCACAAGGAATGGCAAGTCACTTTCATATTGCTGCCAAGAAAATTAATACTGTAGACATTTCCATGTAATCGCCAGCATCTGAGCTCAAGTCTTTGCTACCTTAACGGCACTAGCAGTACCCTTCCAGGACCATTATAATCTATCCTTATCTTTGAAGCTCTCCATGGTCTTACCTTCCTTATGTTTTTATTCTTATATCCCAATAAATCCTTACCAAAAATGACACCCCAACCCCATTTAACATTCAGTGCCACCAGCCTCAGTGTTCAAATACTGTTTTCTCTAACAAAATGCCAAGTTGTGCTGGAATTCTAGAATTCTAAGAATTCCAACTCTCAATCACCAATTTTAGAAATTTTAATCCAATGTTTTTGGAAATTACCAGGTTAGGAAAGCTGGTCTGTTCTCTGAAACTCAATTAGTCCTTTGTTCATGAAAGCCAATTAGTATTTGTACATTCACTATATGAAACTACTCACTATCAGATCTGTGTAAAAATAACCCTATAAATAAATGACAAAATTAAGAAGGAAACCAACTGCCATAAACTTGTTGAGCTGCATCTGAAAGACATAAAAACTGGGCCTTTTATTCATATGAACATGAACTCTGAAAGCTGACTCTCTGGAAAAAAGAGGGTATGGTTTTGCCTACATTAAATATTAAAACACATATAATGGGGAAATCCCAACATAAGAAACAACTGCAGGATTAAGTGCCCAAAGTCAAATGAAATATAAATGCTGGCTTGCCCCAAGAAATTAAGTCAGGTAATGCAATGCCAGCAACTTCTACTGAGATACCAGCAAGGAACATAATAGCTGGGGAGAGCTGCTTATGTTACTCTCAAGATGCGTTTCATGAACCTGACACAGGTTCTGACAATGGAGAACTCAGAGGACTTATTTACTGAATACTCTTGAACTTGGATACAGCAGTCAAGTGACAGTTAGCATTATTGGACTGGTATGGATCAGTGCATAACACTGGTGCACAACAACAAAAACTATAGGACTGTGCAAATCCTTGAAAAGAGATGTTTGACAGTTTACCGGAATATGTGAAAGTGCTGTACCTCTTTTTGAATCAGTGAAGCACGTGCATTTTTATAAGCAGCCCCATAGGCCTGGAGAAAGATGCAGCTGCTTTACCGATGCAAAAAGACATGCGTCATACAAAATCCCATGCCATGCCAAGCACCTCTTTTCAAGGATTTGCACATTAGTGCATTAGTAAAAGCCACATTTTCAGTGTCTTCAACAAATAAGAAATATTTTAAAGATCTGAGTTGACCTGTAGACTATTGTCATCTTCCTTCTATTATTTGTTTGTTTGTGACATCAAGTCAGGGTTGACTCCTGGCGACTGCCTGGATAAGTTCCTGCAGTTTTTTTGGCACGGTTTTAGAAGTGGTTTGCCATTGCCTGCTTCCTAGGGCTGAGAGAAAGTGACTGGCCCAAGGTCAC